ATTATGCTTAGGTATGTTTCTTGTATCCCTGCTCTCTCCAAGACCTTTATTATGAAGGGATGTTGTATTTTGTCAAAAGCTTTTTCGGCATCTAATGAGATGATCATGTGGCTTTTACTTTTCAGTTGGTTTATATGGTAGATTATGTTGACAGATTTTCGTATGTTGAACTATCCCTGCATCTCTGGAATGAAGCTAACTTGATCATGGTGGATGATGGTTCTGATGTGTTCTTGGATTTGATATGCCAATATTTTATTTAGTTTTTTTGCATCAATGTTCATGAGTAAGATTGGTCTGTAATTTTCTTTCTTAGTAAGAGAGTCTTTATGTGGTTTTGATATCAGGATAATTGTAGCCTCATAAAAAGAGTTTGGCAATGTGTTCCTTATGTTTCTATTGTGTGGAACAATTTGAGGAGTATTGGTATTAATTCTTCTTTGAAAGTCGTATAGAATTCTGAGCTGAAACCATCTGGTCTTTGGCTTTTTTTGGCGGGGGGGGGAGACTTTTGATTATTAGTAGTTGCTTTTTAAAAGTAGATTTAATCATCTACATTTTTAACTTTTCATATCTATATTCTCTTTTATTTCTTTTTAGATTAGATTCGATAATCTACCCTATTATCCTATCATATTTATATACCCCCTTTTTCTTTTCAAAACAATTTCCTTTGTTCAATTTTTTTCAAATCATTACCAATAACAACTTGTAACCAACCACCTTAAAAAAGACAAATATCCATAACCTACTGAATGAACAAAGGGGCGGAACACCCACTTTACTTCTTGGGAATATAGGTGTCATATTCTTAAATTTACTTAATGCTGTCTGGGGGGTAACAGTCTCCGGATTCCCTAGTTGGATACCTTTAGTCTCCTGAAAAGACAAAAACAAAACCCTTCCCCAACCCTAATTTTGGGGGAATTCTCTTTTGGCAAGTAATATCTGATCAAATAAAAAGCATAGTTTTGTGGTTAGTTTAGATTAAATGTCCATTTTTCTTAATGAACTATTATCTCTTCTAATTAAGAGGTGCCTTCTGTTCAAATAAAATCTTTGTAAATTTTGATGTTATTTATAGCTTTTCTTCTCTTGCATAAACAAAAGCAAAATTCCTTCCCCAATGTTAACACATGTCCTGGTTTCCATTCTGAGGTCAAACATCTTTAAAGTATATCAGTTGATCTAATTCTGTAGTTTTTTTCTACTTTCCAGTGTCTCTCCACAGCTGTTGTTCCTTTCTCATTAGCATTTAGAAAATTCAAAGTTAATAAAGCATTATGCAATCTATTTCCGGGTGTCTTTATCATCCCTTTCTGTTTATTTAACATATCCTTAGGAGCTTGATTTGATCTTTCTGTAACTGCTTGGCCTGTAGGATTCTGGGGTATACATGTAATATGCTTTATATTATAATAAGCAAAACACAGTTTCATTTGCATAGAGACATATGTTGGAGCATTGTTTTTTTTATTGTGACCATAATGGTCATAATTTCTAGCAAATGTGTGCTTACCAAATCAGCCTTTTTCAAACTCAAAGCAGTTACCCATTGAAAACCTGAATAGGCATCAATAGTGTGGTGTACATATTTTAGTTTTTCATATTTGACATAGTGGAACACATCCATCTGCTAGATTCATTCCATCGAGTGCCCTTTCATTACTTTCGGCAGGTAGTGGTGTTTGGTTGTATAAAGAACAAGCGGGACATTTTCTTATAATTTTCTTAGCTTGTTGCCATGTGATGGAAAAGTCTTTTTTTTAAGACCTATTGACATGATTTTTTTTAATGAAATTCTGAGGCCTTCAGTACATTTCAATCAATAACTGATTGATGTCTGCATTGCCTTGGGCTGGGGAACCTGAAAGATCCAGATATGTGTTATTGGTTGATTACTATCTGATTATATTTTGTAACTGAATAATAATGAAGTCAATTATGTATCATAATTCAGTGGTTTCAATATTCAAAACAACACTTTTGGCAGATTGCAAGTTGGTAACTGTGTTGAGAGGTTCTTTAAAATCCCTTAGTACCTTGAAAATACCACATAATTCTGATTTTGGGCAGAACCATAAGGGTTTTGATCCATTTTATTTAAATTTTCTAATTTTCAACCTTCCTTTTCTGATTTATTTATATCAGTATGGAATGTAGGAACTCCAGTTATTGGTTTGTTCCATACAATGAGAGAAAGTATATAGCTAGCTCTCTTTACAAGTTGGATTTTCTTGCTTTTAGGATAGTTGTTGCTAATCTATACCAAAAAATTAGTATAAGCTCCTTGCCAAGATTCACTTTTTTCCATAGTTTGACATTTTTTCATTAATAAAAGGCACTATAATTTCTGTTGGATCTATTACTGCTAATTGACAAAGCCTCAATTTTCCTTTTAGAATTAAATCAGAGACCTTCTTCATAGAAGTTTTAAATTTTTTACTCAGTTTATGTGGTAAAAAGATTCATTCTAAGATAATGTCTTCCCTCTTCATTAAAATTTCTGTAAGGGAATGTTTGGAGGGTTAATATGACTAGAATGCAGTTAAGATTTGGATCTACACAATCCACATGTGCCTTGTATAGTTTCCCTTCAATGAAAGCCAACTCTCTCAGTTTCAGCTGATAATTTTCTGAGACTGTTGAAATATGAGCGGCAGGGTTGCGTCCCCAACACCCCGGCCGCTTGGCTAGCTCATGCCCGAAATAACAACACACAAACTGTATTCATTTAAGAACTGCTTGACCCATGAACTCTAACCCTTACAGGCTAATTCTCACACCTGGACTAGCCCATTTCTAATGATGTGTGTAAGCACCCCAAGGTGCGCTTACCGGGAAGAGTCTAGCCTATGTCCAGTCCATCCTGGTCGGAGGAGCTTCATTGCGTGCATCTGCCCGGGAGAGCTGAGCATGGCGCCTCTGCTCCAGCAGAGCTGTCGGGTCTCTCCAGGAGCAGAGCAGAGTCTGACCTCACTTCCTCTTCCGCCCAGCATCCTATTCTGTTTATTCCGCCCACCTATCTTTTAACCTATCAGGGCCAGCAGTTTCTTTATTGCTCAGCCAATGAAATCAACAGATTGATATGACACTCCCACATCATGAGACTATTTAAGTCCTTGTTACCATGTAAGGTTTTTTTTTTTAAATTAATCAGGTTATCAAGACCTATCCTAATAGTATACTATACATAGGCAATGTCTCCTAGCAATCTTTAGAAGTCATTAAGAGTCTTAATTAAGATTGCTATTGCTCATATGAAACACCATGACCAAAAACCAAGTTGGGAAGGAAAGTGGTTATTAGACTTACACTTCAGCATTGCTGTTCATCACCCAAGGAAAGCAGAACAGGAAGTCAAACAGGGCAGGATCCTGGAGGCAGGAGCTGATGCAGAGGCCATGGAGGAGTGCTGCTTACTGACTTGCTCCACAGGGCTTGCTCAGTCTGCTTTCATGTGGAACCTAGGACCACCAGCCCAGGGATGGCCCCACCCACCATGGGCATGGCCTTCCCCTCTTGATCCCTGTAGTAGTTTGAATGTAATTGGCCCTCATAAGCTCATAGGGAATAGCATTATGGGAGATGTGGCTTTGTAGGGGTAGGTATGGCCTCGTTGGAGGAAGTGTGTCACTGTGGAGGTGGACTTTGAGGTCTCATATATGATCAAGCTATTCTCAGTATCTCAGACTACTTCCTGTTGCCTGCAGGATCAAGATGTAGCTCCTTCTTCACTCTGAGCTCCTTCTCTAGCACCATGTTGGCCTATACACCTCCATGGCCTGCCATGATGATAATGGACCAAACCTCTTAAACCATAAGCCACAAAATTAAATGTTTTCCTTGATAAGAGTTTCCATGGTCATGGTGTCTCTTCACAGCCCTAGAAACCCCAAGACAATCACTAATTGTGAAAATGCCTTACAGCTGGATCTCATCAAGGCATTTCTCCAGGTAAGGTTCCTTTCTCTGGGATGCCTCTAGCTTGTATCAAGATGACATGAAACCAGCCAGGAAAGTAACACACCTAAGCAGAAAATCTTAGGAGGTATTTCATCATAGTGAATCTTTCAGCTTGGTTTTCAGTTGGCATTTTAGCTTGAGGTGTTGGACCACCACATCTTCTATGTTAGAGTAGAGTTCTGGGTTTATGGACCTATGTCTCCTTACCAAAATCCAGGTTTTTTTCTTTCCTAAAACTTATTACATGCATTGTACCTTTACATACCAAATTAAAAACCAAACAAAAAAAGCGCGCAGGATTATAGAAATAATTGTGGTTGTGGTAATTAAGAAGAGAAGGATCAGTTGGCCTGGAGAGCTTCAGTTTTGGAGAAAGAATTTTAGCAAGAACTTGAAAGGTTGTCTAGGCAGGGAAAAAAGCAGAGTGGATAGGCAATCCAAGAAAGTATTTTCTGAGGATTCGAAACCTGGTAGTTCTGGCCATCCTGTGTATGGGAAGGAGGCCTCTCACCTTCCTATGGTGAGAACCTGAACAGCAGGGAGCCCACAGAAGAGCTTCTTTCTCTCCTGCCCTTGGGCTCCTTCCACTGCACAGCCAGGTTGCTCTGAGACATAAGTGCAGAGGTGGCAGTGGGGGTGGGGGTGGAGCCCTGGGCTTTTGTTTCTTGGATCCCCTCTTCCTTTTTACACACATCATATTGGTTTCTTGGTGTGGGTTGGGAGCAGCTCCTCTTTTCTTGGGTGGGTGTTAGCACAGTCCCAGAAAGATAAGAACTCCTGTAGGAACCAACACATATCAATCCCTGGAGGGGAAAGACAAGCAGCTCTGAAGAACTGGCGGTGTGGAGGGGGGGATGGGAGTCATAGAAGTCGAAGTAGGTCAGTCTGCAGGCAAGCTGTGTCTGCCCTCCCACCAAGGCACGAGCATGGGGGCCCGGGGCCTCCCTTTGTGACGTGGGTGCCCCAAAGCTCCACACTTTTTAAGTCTTGAGGCCAGATCAAAGTAGGTGGCCCCGCGCAGGGAAGCAGGGCTCATGGCTAAGGGGGCCCGGCCCAGCGGAAAATCCCAAGGCGCAGAAATTACAATCCAGATCAAAGAGCCTGCAGGGAGAACACTGGGGACACCGTCCAGGAAGGGCACGCGCTCAGTGCTCAGGGTGTCCCAGCTACTGCTCAGGGCCATCGCTGACCAACCGCGGCTGACTCTGGCAGAGCTCAAGAAGGAGCTGGGAAATGCTGGCTATGAAGTGCACCAGAAGATCAAAGGAGACAACCAGGACTCTACCAGGTCTGAGAGGGGTACGCTTCTGCGGGTCAGTGGCAGCGATACCACAGGCTGCTTCAGGGTCTGGAAGGTTCCTAAATCCAGGAAAAAGGTGGGACGGTCCTGGCTGGTGCTGGGCCGCCGCTCTTCAAGGAAGACCCTGCTCCAAACCCCATCCCGATCAACATCACCAAGACTACGCAGACCCTGCTCGCGTCGCAAGGCAGCCAAGAAGGCCAGAGAATTCTGGAGTCACAAGTCTAGGATTTTGAAGGCAAAGTCCAGGATAACCAGATCAATGGTTAGGACAAGCATCAGGTCAAGGGCCAGGTCAAGGGCGAGTTCAAGAGGAAGGTCAAGAGTGAGGTCTAGAGCCAAGGCCCAGGTGTGTGCCAGGGCCCAGGAACAGGCTTGTTCCAGGGGCAAGGAACAGGCTCGTGCCAGGGGCAAGGAACAGGCTCGTGCCAGAACCAGGGCACAGAAGTGTGTCCAGGGCCGGAAGCAGGAGTGCACCAACACCAGAGAAGAGGCACAGATGGGAACCAGGATGCAAACCAGGGCCAGGGCAATGGAAAACATCACAGCAGGACCTTAAAAAGAAGACGGCAAGTCTCCATCTAAAAATGAGAGCCGGCCAAACTCGAAATCCAGGGACGAGAAGAGGCAGGAACCTGAGAGGGTGGTAAAACGAACCATCCAGAAACCAGCTGTGGCTATAGTTAACAGTGTTTCCAGCCTACAAGGAAAAGCACGCACCAAGGCTTCTGCGAAAAGCGACAGTCCTGGGTGCTCGAGGAATCCTTAATTCCGAAGCTGTTTTCTGGGCGCTGTTTCCTTTCCAGACAGGCTCCAAGGAGAGTAACTCTCTTTCATTGAAGCTATTTACAAGACCTTCCTGTGTCTGTGTTTGCTCTTGCTCGCCACTAGAAGGGAAAAGGGTGGGTGTTGAGGTGAGATCTATAGCGGGGGCTTGGAAGGGGAGGGGAGCGGGAATTGAGACTCTGCTATTCCCACGGGACCTTTCATAAAGAAGGGAAATAGGAAGAGAGAAATCACCAGGGCTACACAACAATGCCCGCCAGGAGCACCATCAAATCCTCAATGAGTCTTCGAGAGGAGGGCAAGAGAAGAATAAGCTCTGAATGCCCTACTAATTCAGACATGGTCTTAAAATTAATTTTAGTGTAAAACTTGATTACAGTGAATTTGTAGCTTTCATCCCGAATTACAGTATTTTATATACAGTATATGAAATCTTGGATGTGAATGCAAGGTTAAATGAGGTCGTGGGTGAAAGCATTCAGCATGGGGTGTGGCACAGCGTAGGCATTCGGGACAAGTGTGTGTAAGTGGTGTAAGTGTGTGTAAGTGTATGTAAGTGGTTTTCGATGGGGCGCTGGTGTCCGCAGAGCAGGACCGGATGGGGACTTAGAACACTCCGGGTTCCAGTCAGAGCTCGGCTCTTCTGACCTTAGCCACGCCTTTCACCTAAGCACCTCTGGTCTTGAATTCTTTCTTTGTAAAATATTGGGATTCTTACACAATGTCAGGGGGGGGGGACTAAACCTCACAGTGAGGACTGGATGTAGGGAAATTCAGCAGATGGGATTGAGAGCCGGGAAAGTGTGACTCTCAGAGGGGAAACTGCTGATATTGACAACACGCCCATGAGAAGTGCAGGCAAGAAGGCGGCCAGAAAAGGAACACTTCGCTCGTGCACTTTTCTAGAACAAGTCTACTCTGGGCGCATGAGCCTAGAGTGAGCACAGTATGGTTTAGCTCTGCATGCGAGGGTGACAGATAGCAGGAGCCTTTCTCTTGCCACAGCTGCGACTCTAACTTCCTGGATAAGGAAGGCCTTAGGACACAGACCCGTCTGCCTCCACGTGAAGCCAGATAAGTGAGAGAAGGGATGCTGCTGGGGTTTTTTATTCTTGAAAAAAAAAAGGTCATAGTGGACATGGGAGCTTTCCCAGCTGTATAGCTGGCCGTGTTTTTCCCAGGAGAAACTTCATCTCCCACAAGGGAAATTTCAATCAGTATGCATTCATGTCATGTATAGGAAAGCACGCTGCTGTGAACTTCCTTTCATGCACAGGAATGATCATGTTAAATTCACCAAAGCCAAATCAGAAAAGCACTGGCTGTGTGTCTCCCGTGGATGTGACCTGAAGTGTGAACCCCCACATCTGCAGTTCTGAGCACTTGAATGTGAGTGGCCGAGGGAAGCAACGGGAGTGAGAATAGGGTCGATCTGGAGAGAGGAACATTTTCTACTGGACACACAGCAAAACTAAATGCCCTTATGGCTGGGGGTTACGGTATACCCTTCTACTCCTGGGTTTTAACCCCAAATACAATGATCTAGAATTATTTCTACATAAAACCAACTGTTAATGACTCTGGTCACTTATCTATTTTTCCTAGAAACCACCACACTTCTATTATTACTGTTTAAGCAAAATTCCATTCAGTACAACTTAATCAACCTTATATTACCTTGATCAGAACCAGTAGCAAATAGGAGATCCAAACCCTCAGCCTGTCTGGACAAAGATGATTATTCCATTTATTTTCATTGATAAACTCTGGAGTAACTGTTTTAGGAACTCATGAACTCAATTCAGGCTGCCCAGCTCATTGGGCTATCTGAGTGCTCTACCAAAAAACTTCCTCCAAATAGCTAATTATATCCCTCAATCCAGTCATTAATGCAAGACTCTGGGTCCTATCCTGAGAACACTACAATGAATAAGTCACAATCTCCACCTTTTAATGTACATTGCACGGGAACTTTTGGTTATTTTAATCAGAGCAAGGAAGTGAATGTCTTTATCCTCAATTCTTGGCTTTCCTCTTAACTCGCTTGTTTAATACAATGATAATCAGATTATTATTGGGAGTAACATTTTAGTAAACATTTATGTGAAGCTATTCCTGGGGAGACAAGAACAAATATCTGTTTATCCCAGATAAAGAACCATGACAGATCAAAGTGAGGCTACAACTTCAGTCTAACTTGGTGAATCAATGAGTTTTATTGGGGCCACAATAATATAGGTGAGAGGTTAATGACAGGAGCAGAAATGACTCAAAGACAGCTAATCATTCCCAGCTCTGTGTAAGACCTCACTCACAGCCCTGTGTAAGACCACTCACAGCCCTGTGTAAGACCACTCACGGCACTGTGTACAACCACTGCTTGCTCTCTGCCTTCCCTCTCTGAGGGCTTTGTTAACTCTTGTGGCAGACCCGTTTCCTTCACCCTATGGACACTTCCAGACCCTTACTTTCCTAGTCCAAGCCCATTCCTTTACGCCAGCCCCAAATATCTAGAAACACATTCCACATGGAAGCCCCAGAAACCCCACTGGCAGGGACTCAGAAGTACTCCCTGTGAGACAACCCATAGTCACCACAGTTTCCTCAGATCCAGAGCGGGTGACAGAACCAAGTAACAGAGCCTTCGACCCAACAAAGACAAGGTATCAACACCAACAATCACTGATATCCACAAATCTAGGAACCCAGATGCCACTGAGAAAGCACACCAACACCACCCTAAACTATAAGCCTCCGCCAGAGCCCAGCAACTCTCCAACAGAAAAGTCCCTGAAAATCAAGACAGCTGAAGCACAAGCCAAGCCTTCAAATAGCTATCATGAATATGCTTAAGAACCGCAAAGAGATCAATCAACTGCTTAATAAAGTCTGTGAAAGCATAAACAGTGGAAGGAAGTGAATGGAACAGTTGAGTGTCTGAAATTAAAACTAAAGAAAACCCAAATTGAGGTAAAACTGGAGATTAAAATTTTAGGACATGAAACAAAGTCTGTCTTACCCACAGAGTACGAGACATACGTTTTAGAGTTTCTATTGCTGTGAAGAGACATTATGACCATGGTAACTCTTATAAAGAAAAAATTATTGGGGTGTCTTCATCACGATGGGACATGGCAGCATGCAGGCAGACGTGGTGCTGGAGGAGCTGAGAGTTTTACATCTTGATATATGGGTAACAGGAAGTGGTCTGAGGTACTGGGCATGACTTGACCATAATGA